GCGCGGCAGCTCCCGCCCGGGCCGCCCTGGGGCCGTCCGGCTGCAGCTCCGGCCGCTCCAGCCCGTCCGCGCCCGCCGCTGCGCCCCGCGCCCGCCTGCTTTATCCGGCCCCGGCCACCCCGTGTGAAGCGGCCCGCGGCGCGTCGTGTGCAAAAGCCCGCGGGGAAGGGGGAGGGGTGACCGGCTGCAAAGAGTGCCCCGGCCCTGCCCCAGAGCACCCCGTCCCCGGCGCCCCTGGGGCCCGAGGAGCCGACAGGGCCTGACTCAGGACTGGGCGACGGCTGCGCGCACTCTTCCCCGCGCGCAGCTGGCCGCATCCCGCCGAGAAGTTCTCGGACCTCGGTTCGTGGAAATCTGCTTTGGGTCCCCTGAGAGCCAGAACGTGGGTCCTGAGGCTTGGTGTGTCTTCCCCTCGGACTGGAGACTCCTGCGGTCGGCTGCGTTCTTCCGCTCAGACTAGGGGTCTCCTGGGGGCGGGATATGCCTGCCCTGGGGCTGAGACAGGAGCCCTTCTTAGGACTGGCTGTGACTGACTGATCGGCCCATCCTAGCCACCGAAGCAGCGCCAGTTCCTGCCCTCCCGCGCGCCCCGATTAGAATCTGGAGTGGCTTTATCCCCACCCCTACGTAGAGCACTGTGGCCCTTCAGCAGCGGTCACCATGTGCGCCGAGTGGACACCACCACCATCCTCCCTTCCCTGCCCTGCAACAGTTCACAGGAGGGCCAGGAAAGGTGCCATGCTAATGTCCCGCCTGAGAAGCCGGCCTGTTGGCTTGGTGCCTCACCCACTTTAAGCTTGGTCCTCTCACAGCGGTTCCTGGGGGGTAGGGACCTTATGGCCTGGCCTTATGGCTGGACTCTGATAGGGGCCCATTATATAGAAAGAACTTTGGACTGGTGACCTCCCTGGCCAGTCACTCCATCATCCCCAGTGTCTTCAGTCTAGAGGACCATAGCTTGGCTATGTCCCTTCTCAGAGACAAGAGTCTAGGGTGCAAACCTCCTGCCCATACCACTGGGAACAAAGAGGGGTTCCTTCAGTCTCTCCTCGACAAGAGTAATATTATTTGGGGGCTAGGTGAAGGGAGTGAGGGTGGCAGGACCATGCCTGCCTAGATCAGGTCCCCGCTGAGTGCCTTTCTACCTTCTCTGGACTCTGAGTGAGAAAAACCTTTACCTTAACTTCCTAGCTTTCCTGGTATAGTCCAAGAACCAGCAGGCCCAGCATTACCTGGAAAAGGTGTTAAAATGCAGGTTCAAATCAACTCAATCTGAATCTTATAACTTATTTGTTGGCAAAATGTTTATGCTTAAAAAGCATATTTTTAGGGGCACCTGGGTGGCGCAGTTGGTTAAATGTCAACTTCGGCTCAGGTCATGATCTCGTGGTTGGTGGGTTTGAGCCCCATGTGAGGCTCTGTGCTGACAGCTCAGAGCCTGGAGCCTGCTTTGGATTCTGTGTCTCCCTCTCTCTGCCCCTCCCCTGCTCATGCTCGCTCTCTCTCAAAAGGAAATAAATAAACTTTAAAAAAAATTTAAAAACACACATTTTTAAACATCCCTCTTGTTCCCTTCAGTGCAGAGCACATTGTAAATTTTCAATAAATGCAGATTTGCAAATTGGACCCAGCTGAATATATTCATTTTATTTAAAAAAATATGCCATGTTTCTTTTATTTTTTCTTTTTTCCATTTTGTTTCTGAGAGAGTGTACACAGGGCAGAGGGAGGGGGGAAAGAGAGAGAGAGAGAGAATCTTTATTAAAAATTTTTTTTTCAACGTTTATTTACTTTTGGGACAGAGAGAGACAGAGCATGAACAGGGGAGGGGCAGAGAGAGAGGGAGACACAGAATCGGAAACAGGCTCCAGGCTGCGAGAGATCAGCCCAGAGCCCGACGCGGGGCTTGAACTCACGGACCGCGAGATCGTGACCTGGCTGAAGTTGGACGCTTAACCGACTGCGCCACCCAGGCGCCCCGAGACAGAGAATCTTAAGCAGGCTCCGTGTTCAGTGCTCAGAGCAAAGCCCAACTCAAGGCTTGATCCCAGGATTCTGGGATCATGACCTGAGCCAAAATCAAGAGTCAGAAGCCCAACCAACTGAGCTATCCAGGCTTCCCTGACAGATTTCCTTTCAATTAAAACTTTCCAAGGGGCACCTGAGAGTGGCTCAGTTGGTTAAGGATCTGACTTCCGCTCAGGTCATGATCTCATGGTTCATAGGTTTGAGCCTCATGTTGGGCTCTGTGCTGATAGCTCAGAGCCTGGAGCCTGCTTCGGATTCTGTGTCTCATTCTCTCTCTGCCCCTCCCCTACTTGTGCTCTGTCTCTCAAAAATAAATACATGTAAAAAAAATTTTTTTTAATTAAAACTTCCCAAGATGCATTTTAATTGATTTGCAGAAGTTTGACCAGTCAAGACTTTGATATACTGCAGAAGCACTAGGCCCATTTGTATTATATACCTGGCTCCAGAAATCGCCAAGGAGGCCTATGTGAATGACATAGCAGTTCTCATACCTCAACCTGAGGAATGTTGTTTCAAAAATGTAGACTTCAGGGGTGCCTGGGTGGCTCAGTCGGTTAAGCGGTCGACTTTGGCTCAAGTCATGATCTCGCAGTTTGTGAGTTCGAGCCCCGCGTCGGGCTCTGTGCCGACAGCTCAGAGCCTGGAGCCTGTTTCAGATTCTGTGTCTCCCTCTCTCTGACCCTCCCCCGTTCATGCTCTCTCTCTGTCTCAAAAATAAATAAACGTTAAAAAAAATTTTTTTTTTATTAAAAATAAATAAATAAATGTAGACTCCAGGGGTGCCTGGGTGGCTCAGTCAGTTAAGTGTCTAACTTGGTCCCAGCTTAGGTCTCGATCTCAGGGTCATGAGTTCAAGCCCCACGTTGGGCTCCACCCTAGGCGTGGAGCCTACTTAATTAAAAAAAAATGATATATACACGGGGTGCCTGGGTGGCTCAGTCGGTCAAGCACCTGACTTTGGCTCAGGTCATGATCTCACAGTTAGTGGGTTCAAGCCCCTCATCAGGCTCTGTGCTGACAACTCAAAGCCTAGAGCCTGCTTAGGATTCTGTGTCTCCCTCTCTCTCTCTGCCCCTCCCCCACTTGCACTGTCTCTCCTTCTCTCTCAAAAATAAATAAACATTTAAAAAAATTTACAAATTTATATATATATATATATATATATATATATACATATGGCTCCATGTTGGACTCTGTGTTGATGGCACAGACCTTGGTTGAAGTTCTCTCTCTCCCTCTCTCTCTGCCCCTCCCAGTGCTCATGCTCACTCAAGCCCACTCGAGTATGCTTGCACACTCTCTCTCTCTGTCTCAAAATAAACAAATAAACTTAACATATATACATATATATATATATATATATATATATATATATATATATATGTATATATGTTCCCACATTCCACAGCGAGTCTGACTGTAGGTCTGGGGAGGAATCTGAGAATCTATATGTTTAAAACCTCAGTGTTCGATGCTGTTGTGAAATTATTGTTCATTTTTTATGGTGTAGTCATTTGATTTTTTAAAGAACCTTTATCTAAACTATTGAAGGATAAAATGATACAATATCTGGGATTTGCCCCCAAATAACACCGGTGTAGGGAGTGGGTAATGATAGAGAAGAAACAAATGTCAATAACTGTTGAAACTGATTGATGGGTAGTTGATACTATTCCCTCTACTTTTCCATGTTTGAAATTTTCCAGAATTAGAGGTTTAGGGAAAAATAAACCTCTTCTGGTGGTTCTAATGCAGCAGCCTATGGAACCGTGTTGAAGATTCATTGGAATAACCCCTCAAAAGACTGTTCCCTCTCTTACAGCCTGATCTTAAAGGAATCTTTTGATCAAGAACCCTTCTTACCACCCTTAAGTGTTCTGGTTTGGAAGGATAAGCAGAGCACTTTGTGTGGCAAGGTAGAGATCTTCTCATTTGCAATCAAGAGATACCTCCCTAGAATTTAAACTTTAACTGACTACTAGCCTTGACTGCCTTCTCTCCTCTCTCTGATAAATGATGAGATAGTGGACTGATATGCCTGTTTCTCACGTTATCAGTAACCTGGAGAAGAAACCTGGGGGCAGAATATGGACAGGTTGTAATACTGATTCTTGTGATTTCAAAATGATGAAAACCTCTCTCTTTCTGGTTTCACATTCCTTTGGTCTTTTATAGGACGACACTTTAGGACTATAAAGAAAAGCAAGTGTGTGACTATCAAAAAGACAGGAGAGAGGCACCTGGATGACTCAGTCGATTGAGCAACTGACTTCAGCTCAGGTCATGATCTCGCCATTCCTGAGTTCGAGCCCCTTGTATGACTGTGTGCTGGCACCTTGGAGCCTGGAGCCTGTTTTGGAATCTGTGTCTCCTCTCTCTCTCTCTGCCCCTCCTCCACTTGTGCTATGTTTCTCTCTCTCTCTGTCTCAAAAATAAATAAAGATAAAAAAAAAAAAAAGACAAGATCATGGCTACCTCCAAGGAGGGGGCCACATGAGGGCTTCTATGGGCTGGCAGTGTTCTTTTTCTTGACTTG